GCTGTTGTGCTTGGTGCCAGGAAATGCTACTCTATAAGTGAAGATCTTTCAACTCGGCAGAACCTCTCTATTTGAAAGTGTTCCTCCTGGTTGTGTTGAGGCATGTGAGATAAATCTGAGTAACAGCTGGGTAGGGCTTGGGTCTTAATGCTGCTGTGATCTAGAGAGGGGTTTCTTTGCCACAAACGTTACTAGATGTTAGATGGACGTGCAAGTCCCAAGTCACCGTTCAGAAGCAGAAAAACCAGCTGTGTGCATGTATGCTGCTTTGGAAACTTTCATATTCTCAGAGCAAATAAACTTCAGACAAACAAAAAAGTTGTAAGAAGTGAATCATCTTCAGATACCTCCCATGGATGCCTGCATATCCGTAAAGGAAGAAAAGAACATCTGCGCCAGTCACCCCGGACACCCCTTATAGACAAAACCAAAACCAAACCAAACCAAACCCAAACAAAACAAAACAAAACAGACAAATAGTCAAAAAAAAAATGTTCAGCACATGACTTATCAGATCTGCTGCAGAGGTCCATGCTGGGAGGAGAGGGGCTGTGCTCTCCAAGGGGCTGTTTCCCCCTTTAGTCATGGTGGTCACTGAGGGCGGCGAGCTCCCACGCAGGTGCCCACCCAACAGAGGTTTGTGGTAGCCCATCTCCGGCTCCTGGTTCTCTTTCCCTGGAGTTTTACAAGCTGGAAGCAATTCAGCTTGTCTGGCTTGACAGTCACTTCTTATTTGTTGGCTCGTGGCACCTGGACAGCCATGAGAGGAGGTGGTCTGCATCCCCACTGCAACGGGTCATGGTGCATGGCAGTGCTGGGGACACCAGGATGTGTGTGGTGACCACCAGCCACTGTCACGGTGAGGGTGCTCCAGCCACAGCCAGCTCCTGAACAAACCTATGAACCCTCAGCCGGGGGTCTGTGCATCCAAAAGGGGCCAGCAGCACATTTACAGCCTGAAATCACCGCTGCGAAGAGAAGCCTCTGCAGAGCTGCTGCAGCCAGAGGCATGCAGTGAGAGCAGATCTTGGGATGCTAATTAATCCCCCTTTAGGAAGATATTTATTAGGCAAATGCCTCACATTCATACGCACATCTGCAGTCAACAGAGAGGCTTTGACTTCTTTTTTCCATCCCAGCAAAGCTGAAGGGAGGCTGCTGTGGCTAAAGCCAGCGGTGCTGGGCTGCTTCTCAGGTCAAGTGGGTGCCTGTGCCCATGGTGTGGAAAAAACACTTGAAATGATGGAGCTGCAGGCTGGAGGAGAACCAGGTGGTAGTTAAGAACAAGAGCCTGAAATCTCAGTACCATCTTTGATCACTTGCTGACAGAGATATTGCAAAGGATGGGGTCAGAGCTGTCCCTGGCAGAGAGCCTCAGCGTGCAGGGAGCAGCCCTTCCTGAGCCCCTGCACCAAAACAACCTGGGGCAGCTTTTGCCATCAGCCAGCTAATTGCTGAGGTTCGTTTTTATGTCCTCTGATGAGCAAAGGATCGTGGCTACTTGTGGCTTTTGCAGGAGAAAGAAAAAGCCAACATCATGTGCATGGCTGTGCCAGCAGCCCCTCTCCTTGCCCAGCAGATACAGAGTTGGAGAAGGTCCAAGGAAGCTCATGGGGGACCTGCCCTGGTGCCCACCACCCCTGGGGTACAGGAGCTCTTTAGGAGTGATTGTTCTTTCCAAATTGATCTGTTTGACTTCACCCTTAGGTCTCATTGCTTCAAGAGTTTGAGCAAAATCTAGTTGGAAAATATTTGCTTTGAGTCATTCAGACTGGATACAACCCTAAAATTTTGGGGCAAGAGCAGGGCGTGAGCTTCCCAGGAGGCAGTAATTCTGTGCACGTCTGCTGGGGGCTTCCTGCAACCAGAAAATGGGGGTGAGCCCTTCCCAGGATCAGACCTGCAGTTGGGGGAGGATGAATAAAGGCATTAAAAGGCTACTAGGTTGGCGTGCCACTCAGGAACAAAGCCAGTCTAAGGCAGACCTGCTGAAGGCAAAGCAAGCCTTTTCAAATTTCAAAGCAATTTCAAGTCGCAAAGCAAGTAATATTTCAGTTTCTTACTGAAAAATATTGAAACTTGCTCAGCCTGCAGAGCCATAGAACCTGCCCACATTAATTCCATTTTTTTTCCTGGCTGTACAAATGGATCAAGCATCCATGCATCGAGTATCCTTCTTTACATTGCAGCGAGAGCTGCTGGCATGAAACTCAAACTCTGAAATGTCCATCTTAATTAAATTGCTTCTATCCATGGGGTTCAGCGGTAGGTCATGGCATGTGGGAGATTTACCCCTCGGTCCTGGAGGAGCACGAGTAAACCCAAGAGCAAAATCCTCGGTGACTTGAGCTGACAACTGCATTCTTAAAGACTTAAAGCTCCTGGCAGAGCAGTTGCCTTGCCAGGAAGCTCTGCTAACAATATTCTTTTTATTCCAGGGGCCCAAATCTGCTGTCTGTGAACCTGACTGGCTTTTGCACTTGATTTCAGCGAGGCCCTTGATTTTCTCTGACATGTGCTTCCGTCTGTCAGAGCCGCCTGCTCCGTCCCCATCCCTCCTGGCTGCTCCGCCAGAGCCTCCCGTTCCCCCCCCCCCTTCTACAGAGTAACCCGAAAACCTGGCTTGTTGATAAAGAAAAGCAAAGTTTGGCATTCAGACAGTGAGGACAGGCTCAGGAAAGCTGGTTCGGTGCCTGTGGCTTCTCCGAGCCGCTGCATGACCGTGCAGAAATCCTCGGGTTTGCCTGTGCCTCGGCTCCCCCGCTGCGGCAGGGTACCCGCACCTCCGACGAGGGGATGCTAATTATTGCTCACGAGATGCTCGAATGTGGCAGCACAAATAGTAAACAAGGATTCGGAGCCTTTCTAAAAATAGCTCATCTGCAAACACTCGGGCCCATAGACTGGGACTGGAACTGGGAGCTTTCCTGGCTGTTACATAACCGCAGCGGTGTTTTTTGAAGGATCGGGTTGGCTTCATTACTGTAGTTATTTCATAAATTAGCAGCATATCTGAGTAGAAAGGATCAAACAAAAATAAATGCCTGCTTAACCCAGGCATATGGAACCCAGCGTTATTTGAATTATATTTTTAAAACAGCCATCTCCTATCTTTGGCCTTAAGCTCTCAGAATGTGAAAGCAAACACTGTCCTGTTGTGGCTTTTTTTTTTTTTTTTCCTTACCCACAGCCTCTTTGGCTTCACGTTGGCAAATTTGGGACTGCCAGGTGTCTCCTGAGTGCAGGAGATGATCTGTGCCGAGGGCGAGACACGGCAGGGGACGTGGGGATGCCACACGCCTCTCCCCATCGGGGAGATCTTTCTGGAGGAGGCTCCTCTCCCTCGGGAGATGCTGCTCTCTTGGTGTTACAGCCCGGCCACTGCACGGAGAGCCCTGCCTGGTGCCACTTTTTATAACCACACTCTGATCTCTGGGCATTTGCAGGCTTCAGGAGCAGCGGGATGCTCTGGCTGCAGTTGCAGGAGACGCTCGATAGGAATGGGAACTCTGCGAGCACCCGAGCCTGCTGCGAGGCCGTGCCAGCCCCTGCGAGCAGGCTGGCAGCGCTGCGGCGTCTGGCCACGAGTGGGTCCCGCAGCCACCCGAGGAGGAGCTGCCAGGGGGCTCCTGGGTGGGAAGGTTTCCAAGCCCTTACCTAATCTTTCCCCCTCTCCCCTCCGTAATCTCACTTCTGAGCTTTTTTAATCAAAAAGCGAAGCAACAAAAACCCTGTGAAGTCCCCGCGGGTGGCTCAAGCAGCTGGAAGCAAAGCCTCCATCGACCACAGCACACCCCACGGGAGCCCCACAAACCCCATGGGGTGCTGGCAGCGTGGCAGGACATGTGGACATGCACTGGGTGGGGGGACACAGATGAAGCTCTCAGGGGTCTGCCTCTGGGGGAGCTGGGTGTGAGGGGGCCACCTGCCAAGGGGCTGGACTCGCAGGTGCGCCTCCAAGGATGAAACTTTTGGGGTACGTGGGGCTGCACCCCACAGGGTGGGGGCTCAAGCGGAGCCCCCGGGGGGGGCAGCCAGCGAGAGGAGAGGCCTCTGCAGCGCCCCGGCAGCGGGCCGAGGAGGGGGAGGACCCCGAGGTGCGGGTGGGGGGGAGCTCAGCATCCCCGCAGCATCCCCGCAGCATCCCCGCATCCCGCACCGGCCGCGCACGGCGCATGCCTGGGGCAGATGCCGGCCGGTTCCAACCGGGAGAGGCCAAAGCTTTTCGGGTCCTGCGAAGAGGAGGAGCCCATCTTCCTCCTCCTCCTCCTCCTCCTCCTCCCTGCGCATCCCCCCGCCCCCTCTCCCCGCGCAGCGTGGGCACGGCAGGGAAAAAAAAAAATAAAAGTTGCGGGCTCGGGGGGGAGGGAGCCGGGGCAAAGATGCGGCGTGGGGAGGGGGCGTGGGGAGGGGGGATTGATGCGGGGCTGTGTTATTCCGGCCCGGGAGGGGGACACACACACACACACGCCCCCGCGGTGCAGTGACTCACCACGGAGCGCCCACGCTGCCGCAACCCGCGGGGACACGGGGACATCGCCACCTTCCTCCCCTCCCCAACCCCCGCGCCCCCACCCGCGTTCGCGTCCACCCGTGGGGCTGCGCGCACCCGCAGCGCCCCTTCCAGAAAACGCTGGAATAAAACCCACAGCCCCTCCCGCACCCAGCCCCCCCCCCCGCATCCCCACGCGTGTATTTTCCACCGCGGCCCCACGCGAAAATCATCACCCCCCCCTCCCCAAATTCCCCGCCGTAGTAATTTGCAAGCGGCTGGGCTGCTCGGAAAGGACAGGAGAGGAGAGGAGGGGGGGGGGCGTGTAGGGTGGGTGGGAGGCGGGGGGGGAGGCGGCCCGCCCCCCCCGATCACATGGCGACCCCTTGCAGCCAATGCGGGGGGCTCTAGGACCCCGGGGACCCGCGGCCCCCCCGCCCTATAAATGCCTCTCCAAAATGCAGCGCAGCTCCTTTCTCCCGTCCCGCCCGGCCGCGCCGCTCCGCGCCCCGCGCAGCCCCCGCCGCTGCCTGGCGGGTCTCCGGCCCTGCTCCGAGCCCCGCTCCTTCCCCCCCACCCCCTTCCCCCCCTTTTTTTTTCCCCCTTTTCTTTCCCTTTTTTTTTTTTTTTTTTTCCCTCCTCCCCCGTTTTTCTCCTCCTTCCCCTCCCCGCGGGCAGTTTGCATGCATTGTCTGTCTCCCAAGATGGTTTGTGAGACCAAGATCGTGGCGGAAGACCATGACTCGATCCCGGGCTCCAAAAAAGACACGATCATTGTTTCGTCCTCCCAGATGTGGCCCACTTTGTCGGGCACCCCCTCTGCTCCCCTCAGCCCCCCCAAAGAGGAGCCCAGGCGCGACAACGTGTACATCCGCGAATTCCACCCCTCCGAGCAGGAGGTGGTGCGCCGCATCTTCTACGAGGGCATCATGGAGCGGATCCCCAACACGGCCTTCAGGGGGTTAAAGCAGCAGCCCCTCACTCAGCTGCTCTACGGGCTGCTGGCGGGTGAGTGCCTGCTTGGGGGGGCCCCAAAAAATGGTGTTGGGGGGTGTGGGGGGGGGAGAGATTGGGGAGGGAGCGCCGCGGTGCCGCGGAGCCGCAGCGCTGCGGAGGGCGCAGCGCAGCCAAGGGGGGGGTGGTTTTTAGGGGGTGAGCCGCAGCCCTGCGCGGGTTTTTAGGGAAAAGAGGCATTTGTGGGGGTCGTTGGGATGCGTGTAGAGCTGTCCTTGAGGTTATTTCGTGGTTGGGGTTGGGGGGGGGGACGCAGAGAGGGTTGCGCGGTGGAGGGGAGCGGTGCGCGCTTCCCGGCGCTCAGCGCACCGCCCCCGCGCAGCCTCGCGCGGGGGGGATTTGGGGGGGCCGCCGCGTGCCGCTGTTGCTTGGAGACAGCCGGGAGCGCTCCCCCCACCCCCCCCCAGTGTGTTTTTTTTTTGGGGTGGGGGGGGGTCGTCTCCTGGGGTTGCATGCCCAAAATAACCCCCGCAAGGTGCGCCCCCCCATAATCATCCGCGATAATGCGCGCCCCTCGTGCGAATATTGACGAGAGCCCCACATGGGCAAATAAGAACGTGTGACCCCCTCACACCCCAAAATGTACCCCCCAGGGTGGTTTCTCGTGCCCTTGGTGGCTGCAGGTGCCCCCCCCCATGCCCTGTGGGAAGAGGCCCTGTGTTGGAGGGGGACCCCCAGCAGGTAGCGAGATGCGGGGGGCTCAGCAGGGGTCGTGCTGGGGGAACCCACCAACAAAGGGGCACCCACAGAAGCCCCCATTGAGTCTTGCACGCCCCCCCCCAAAGCATTGAGGTGGGCAGGGTGCCGTGGCTCCCCCGGCAGTCACTGCTTCCCCGGGCTGGAAATAGTAATGCCGCAGTGGAAAACACATGGCTGCGGAGCAGCGTGCCTGCAGCCTGCCGTCTTCCCCCCTCAGCTGCTTCTTAGCCTTGCTGGGTGTGGGGAGAAGTGGGGTCTGGGGCCCCCCCAGCATCCCCTCTCCCCCCCGGCATCCCAGCCCCGGGGACGCCGCACGCTCGGCTCCATAGTCCCGAGAGCGTGAATCGTGCCGTGGTTGCGTGTGCAAATGTCTATTTTGTCTGTGCTCTTTTAATTAATTTATTTTTTTTGTAAATGAGTTTGTATTCCGAAATCAACACTAAATTCTCTTTTCTGACAGGTATCGTTTATTTCTCTTCCTTATCTCCATAGTAATATGCTTTGTTGTGACCAAGTCCTTCCTGCTGACCTGCTGTTTGCCCATCTTTCTGATGGGCATGAGGTACTACTTCAGTAGAAAAGTTATCCTCCACTATCTCGATTGTGCGCTGCATACGGACATGTCCGATATTGAGCAATATTACATGAAACCGCCAGGTGAGTCCGAGTGCCCCGGGGGGAGCCTTCCCCCGCCCTGCTGGGGAACATGGCTGCTCCGTGCTGCTGGCGCCTTTGCCTCCTGTCAGCAGCACTGAGCAAGCTCAAAAGTCACCAGAATCACCAGAATGCAGCTCTTTAGCCACACCAGGCACAAATCCCAAATCCAGCCCCCTTTTTTTTTATTATTTATTTTTTTTCCCCTCCCTAAGATGTCCAGTCATCCTCTGCAGCATCCATCTGCACCCAAGGGATGGGGTATGGTTGCTGGGGGCTTGCTGCACTGCGTCCCCCCCAGTGCAGGTAATTACTGCAGGCTGTCTGCCCCCTTCTTGTCCTGGGTGTTCCTATGCTCCTCATGCATGGGAGCTGGTCTCAGAGTGGGAAGAAGGGGAGATAAAGGTCTCTTAGCCCAAATGCGTAGCCCATTTTAGGGATTGTGCACATTTTCTTGTATTATTTAAGAAGAACCTTCCTTAACGCAAGTGTTTTGGAAGAGGCACAGATCAGGTATGTAAAGGGATTCTGCCTCCATCCATTTGTTATGTACATGCATGTAATTAAAAGCATAATACCTAATGCTAATGTTTGCTCATTAAGCTGCAGAGACTCTCTTACATGATTAACTATAATAAACTAAGGCGCCTCACAATTTGTCAGGCAGGGAAGGTGCTGTTTCCTTTCTGGAGGCGTACACCCGTGTTGAGAACCAGAGCAAGGGGGCTACCTGGGCTGTCTCCTGAAATCAGGGGGGTCTGAGGTTTGCTTTTTGTGGCCGTGGAGAGCTGTGAGAGCGAGGTGATGCCAGGCACCTGCGTTAATCTCTGTTTTCTCAGGGTACCTACCCAGTTGTTTTTCCATGGGACTGTTTTCGCTGCATCATTGCTGTTCCCCACGTGTGACAGATCTCTCCCTGAGGCTCTCCTCCTGGTCACTTCTAGAGGACTAATAGGACATGCCACAGCTGCAGACTTTCCTTCCTCTCACTTCTGATATTGCATTTACCTAGAATGATGCTCGTCCTGTAATAAAAGCCTCAAAATGTCCTAACAGTGCTTCCTTCAGATTTTGTTCCCTGTCACAGCACACATCTCATGCAGATCTTGTTCCATCTTACACAGGGGTTGTATTTAATTCACAGTGAAGCAAGCAGTGTGTAACTTGCATGTAGCTCGCGTGTCCTTAAAAAGCGCAATCTTCCTTCAAGCTGTTGTCACAAATCTAAAAGGGCGTGTGGCAAAACGCTCCCGAAGCTCTGTGCTGAGGCTCAACAAAGCCCAGTGCTGGAGGAGGCAGTGGGGAACTGCAGGGGAACAAGAGCAGGCGGTGCGGGTTTCCGAGGTGTTTGAGCCACGTCTGTCCTTGGGGCTTGGGGTTTGTGCGATTCCAGGCTGGGTGTGGAACCAAGCTCCGGCATTTGTAACACCAGCATTTGTAGAAAATAAACCAAACGGGCTCACATGAAGAGTCAGGAACGCCCCCAGCTTGTTTTGGGTCAGGAACGTAATACAGATCAGCCTCACTGACAACGTGCCTTTGAACCATTCGTGTTGCTTTTATTTGAGACCTAACAGGGCTGGTTTCAATTTTAGAGCGAGTGTGTGGGCTTTAATTTTTGACAGAATTTAATCATGTGTAATTAGGCTTCTGCCATGCCATAAAAAGCAGATTTATGGGATCGTTGGTGCTTGTGAAAGGTGCTTGATGATAGTAGTATTACACAAGTTGGCTGGGGTCGTAATGAGGTAAAGCCAAGGGGAGGCTGGCAGGACTGACTCCACCCGTGGTGCCACTTTGCATGGTTCTTATCCCCGTGCCGTGATGTTGCATGGTGCTGTCACACGAGGCATGAACCCAGCCCTCTGCACCCATTTCCCCCCAAATACAGTTGTATTTCTTCCCTATAAGACAGCAGCATAAGGACAGTTGTCTTGAAAAAGCCTCTGGTTCCACGTACTTCTGAGGCTTAGCACTTGCACTGCTTATTTAAATGTCCTGAGAACAGGCAGTAATGTGCCACATCAGCTCCCCCAGTCCCTGCACAAAGGACAGCAATGACAATAGAACAACTTCCAAGTTTGTCTTTTATTGTGACAGTTTGCAAATTAGCACGCAGACATAAATTATTGCAGTGGGAACAAGAAGGGCTCATTCTCGTAAGCAATGCCTATTGTTCCAACTTAGATATTACTGAAAACTTTCTCAGTTGGGTGTTAGGGAAGAAGTTGTCACAGGGAGGTTAATCAGATGCTGGGACAGGGGCCCAGGGACGCTGTAGATACTGAGAGCTCGACTAGACGAGGTAAAACGAACCTGATGTGACTTCAGGTTGGCCTGGCTTCAGCTGGGAGCATGACCAGGCAACTTCTCACTCCTTTGAAGCATCTTTATTTATGTGCTGATTTTTTTTTCTCAACACAGAAGACAGAGGAAGGGAGCATTGCCATGGTGGGTTTACAAATTCTTGCTTCTCATGGTGACAGGCGCAACTGTAGAGCTGGGACGTGGTCTCAAGGTCTCTGATCAGGATGCTGGTCAGGGCTAAACCAAGGTTTTGCTCTTGGCATCCATGGCATGAAGAACTGGTGTTTGCCGTGCGCTGCTTGCAGTACCTGTGTCAGGGTTCTGTTGTGCAGAGCATCAACAGCAAACAGCCTCTGGTCAGGCAGGTGTCTCTGGGGAGGAAATATTTTAACTACTGAAATATTTTAATTACTGAAATGGGTCGTTCCTGGTGGTTTTGCTGAAGTATTCTTGCAGGCTGTGCAAATCATGGGTCAGTTTAAGAGCAAGAACTGAAAGGTCGCAGTTTGTAGTGGGTTGTCATAAGCACCAAGATTAACAATTAGTGGTACTTGCTTTTCAAATATTTTTTTTTTTCTGCTGTAGTTTTTCTGACCCACTAGTCTCCAAGTTAGTTATTGTCTTAAATTTCCTCCACTGGGTTTTGTATGAACTGAAAAATATGTGCTGACAGCGATTTTGCTGAAGTACACTAGCCAAAATTTAAATCTTTGTTTTCTCTTGTCCTCCTACACTTACACCAAGATTCTGGCAGAAGATTTGGGCCAGAGTTTAACTAAGCTCTTAGGCAGTGGATTGACTTGAATTGCTGTTGACTTCAAAGGAGTTGTTGGTGTTGAGTTGTGTGCTGGATTGGGATCTTAAACAGAGGATTGAATGGCCCAGCCTTCGCAAGCTCTTCGTTAGCTTGCATTTTTCGTTTAAAGTAGCACTTACTGGTGGCTTTTATTTTCTTTATAAAAAAATAAGAAAGGCACTGGGGCGGTAGAAAAGGAAGGAATTGGATAATGGGCTTAATTGTCAACCAGAGTAACTTGGGCTCTAGTAAATGAAAAAAAAAATATATTAATTTTAAATAGAGAAATGCAGGAGGCAGGGCTCTACGCAAATAAGAGGAGCACAGCTGGAGCTTCTTTTATGGTCTGATGGTTTTGTCGACTAATCAATTTTACAGCGTCTCTTCAAGCTTCTGTCACAGTTGGTTGTTTTGTGTATTTTTGTGGTGGTTTGTGTGTTGGAAAGATTCTTGCGAGGTTGAGGTCTCCGCTGGAGTGCTGATGGAAACCAGAGCTCCTTGCTTCTGGCGTGAAACCACTGCCCTCCCGAATGAGCAGAGCTTCTGTGGATGAACAGACATGTCTTCTTGTGGTAGTTTCAGGCCTCATCTCCTGCTGCTGTCTGTCCTGACCTGCTGTATGGGTGCGTGTGGTGGTGGTAGTGTGAAGATCTCCTTGTAGGCCTCTGCCCCAGCAGGACGGGCAGGTGACTTGAAGAGCTGTGGCTACTAGAGCTGGTGGAGGCCTGAGGGCATCTGCCTTGTGTAGTGCAGCCGATTAAGCTGAGGAGTTGCTGCGGGATATATTGGGTTAGGTTCAACACGCCAGGCTGGCAGCTGTGGTTTTTGGTGGTGGCTGCGTGTCTGCAGCCATCGCTCTGTGGTGGTGTGGGCAGGGCTGGAGGGAGCGGTTCTGCCACCTCCTGTGAGTCCCCATCTTGGACTTTCTCCTTGCTAGTTGTGTACAGGGAGGCAGCTGTCCTGATGGGCAGGGCAGCGTGGGTTTCCATCACGCCTGGTACATGAATAGGTTATGCTGGTATCCTAAAACAGGGATGGCTCATGAGGGTACAATCCCTGCTGCTCATGGGCAGCATGTCTCTCGGGTGGCCCAAAAGAGAGACGTCCTGCCCTTCTCAGCAGAGATCCCGGGCTCATGTCCTCCTGGGATGCCACCTGGGGTGGGCTCAGAGAGGGTTTGTGAGGAGGTGACACCCTGCTCTTGGCAGCCCTGCTCTCTCCTTTCCAGGCACTTCTTGTGTTCAGTGGGACATCTGGCTGCAGAATGGGTATTTCAGTTGTGCTCTTGGGCTGGGCACAGGGCTTTTCATGCCAGAGAGCGGAGCTGACACCAGAAGGGCTGACCCCAGGAGCATGTGAGGAGACGAGCACCTGGCTGAGAAATTTTGCAATTTCTATGCTGCCAAACCTGGAGGGCACTGGTGGGGTGAGTGGCCCCATCTTGGCTTGCCCTTCTTCCCTGGGCATGCTGGTGTTTTGGGGTACCAGGCCAGTGTGGGGACCATGAGGAAAATACAGGGACCACCTTGGGAGGACCCTTGGTCTGGGAGCTGTGGTTGCTCTGCCTCACCCTGTGCAAGCCAGGGGGGTTCCTCCCCATGGTGGGGGCGATGGCCTGCGGCAGGGAGGTGGATGGAGCCCCCCAGGCTCCAGTTCTTCCACATTCTGGGTAACTCAGCAAGCAGCTGAGCCGCCAGATAAGCAGGAGGGACGCTGCCCGCTGATAACATTGTTTTGAAAGAATAGAGCAGCTCTTGCTTTGCAAAGCCAGGGCTTAGTTACCTGACCCCGGGAGGGGGCTCGGGGCTGCTGCTTCCCAGTGCAGGAATGTGTTTTTGGAGAGCCCTGCCCTGCTTGCCCATGCCCGAGAGGCAGCAGGAATCTAAGGCATCCCTATCTC